TAAGAAGACCAATTTCTTTTAAATATATATTTCTCGTTTTACAATAAATTGTTCTAGTCTTTTGAGTACACAGGCAGTTGCATTCCTATATTATGACGTAACGAGACAAAATTTTAGATAAAATATAAAAGATTATTCACAGAATCCTTATCAATCCCCAAATTATGATAAACTAATGTCAACAGCATCCTAAAAGCCTCTTGAAACGTTAATAAGCGATATCGAGATAAGCTATCTAAGTGAGAATCACAAAAAAATTTGTATCTATTTACTTATAACAGTCAATAATAATTTAAATTATAACCTCACGTTTGTATAGTATAGTTTTATTAGATTATACCCCGCCCTTTCTTCGCTTACGATTCAAATTCTTCTACGCCATGAAAGGAGCCGTTTATTACAGTGAGCAATATTAGTGCTTTTTAATAAGCAATCTCATTTTCGAATTTTAAATATTAAACTGTATAGATTTATAGATACACCAGCGACCATCCTCACTCCGCTCGGGTTCGTCCCTACTTACGTTTTAACGTTTAGTATAGATTTCTCAGAGATAATATATGTTTCCGCAGTAAAAAGTTTCCTATATTTTGACCCAGATAACCAGCTATCATCATACCAAAATACATCAAAATCTGTCAATTGGTTTTCTCGTGATGCATTCCCCAGCCAGACAGACAAAAATTCTAAAAACTATAAATTCAGCCTCTGTATCGATAATATAACTATTTCAATAAGATTTTCTCAGTTAGAATTCCATTATATGTACCTATAGATGATTACAACCATATCTTTTTAAATTAATTCTTTATTATTGAAACGAAACGGATGAATTAGACAAAACATTCATCTCATCATAACCAACACAGCATGACAATTTAATTTGAATTTCTATACATAAATAATTAATTTTTTTAGCCAACAATAAGTTTGCCAACATATTTCGTATTAAATTAAGCATAAGTTTTAAATAATAAATAATAATTATCACATTACTTCAAGTTAAATTAATATATTACCCCAAAAACAAGAGAAGTTAAACTAAAATGTAAATCACCATTTTTATTTTATTTAAAGTGAACTGTCATGGTGCCCGGTTTAACCACGTTCCGGTGCATGCAGCTGAATAATTAAGTGCTAATTATCAAATACCGCAGCTTATGTTCATCTTCTCGTTCTATAATTTTTGGAAAGCTTACGTTTTGAAAGTAGCGACGTTTGAGAAATGTTACACTTTCCAGTGTTGCCATCCTTTCACTGGCTTTTTCATATTTATTCATTAGAAGTTTCGGATTTTCAGGAAATTCATTTTAAATTTAATAATTTAGGAGATTTTACATGTTTTTATAGTATAATGTGATTGCAATAGAATAAATAAATAAGTATAAAATGTTAAGAATAATCTAGCCGTTAACAGGGCAGCAAATGTGAATACAGATTGAAAAATACAATTTATGTTTACACTAAATCACATACCGTATTCAATTGGCAATAATTTAAAAATATCGTGATTTTCGACTACCCTTAAAAATTATATATACCATATATGAATATATACCCACAAAACTAAACATAACATATTGGTTAAAACCGTATCAAAATTTATTGCATAGCTTATAAGGAAAATCAGAACAAACCAACAGCCAAACAAAAATGGCGACTGTTTCTAACTATATAGAGGTAAGGATATTTACATGTGTAATTAAATTAGAAGTTTTAATAGTAATTTGTTTGTTAAAAATCTTAGTTTTTAACATAAATAACAAAGCTATCATTTATATTTATAATATTATGTATATATTTAAATTATATATGTGTAGTGTATCAACTACCTGGTATCCATAACACAAGCGTCGTAGCTTACCATGGAACTAGATGGTGCTGTGTGTTAGTGCCCCAACATATTTATATTTATCATCAGCACACTAATGTAGGTGGTCTGAAGCAGTTAGTTTCCTTTCGTGCCGTTAGCCACTAAACCTGAATTAGCGGATGGATCGCATATTCATCAGTTCATTGATTTTATAACCGTGGCATAACGTGGCTTTATACCATAAATCCCCTTTGTTCTCGTTTATATTGACAACAAACATGTTTAGATTTAGTAACTAAATGTTAACCTAACGTTGGAAACTTGAAATTCAAAGTAAAAAAATAGTAATAATATAATGTGTGTAGATAAAAATAGTATAGCAACATAAGTTAACAGATAATAATACTTTCTTAGATTTACGCGAATATTTGACATTTTAAATATTTATTTTTTTATTTTGATTGTCTGTAACAAGTAGGAGGACTCCTTTGAGATGGCTAAAACATTAGTATCTCCCGTGACCGTGATTGCTGTAAAAGCATTTGAAATGTCGGGAACCAGAAATCAAAATAAATCCGCGAAATAATCTATCTTTTCGTATTTTATCGTGGTTTTATTTTGATTTTGTCTTCCCGGCGTTTTGGTAAAGTTACACATTGAACTAATTACATAATTATTAAAACAATATTGTTTGAAACAAAAAATGTATATTTGATATATTGTCATCTCAATATTTTTGGGATTGCTGTAGGTATGTCAGCCTTAAAGTGTATCACTCGGATACAGATGGACAGCTTTATTATTGTACAGCTAAATTTTATTTCGAAACCAAAGATAAAGTGTGAGCTCTCTGTTCATCTCAATCCCATTTAAAGCGTGCTTAATTTAAGATAAGGTCATGGTAGTCCAGTGGTAACGAACGGGCTTGGTTCGAAAACCGAGTGAAGTGGATTCAAATCCCGGGTCTCGCATCTCTGATATTTCATGTGCGAATCATTTCCAACATGATTATCATTTATCTTACGGTGAAGGAAAACATCGTGATAAAACTTACAAAACATGATTGAGAAAACCTAGCAAGTTTTTGAAAGACATGTGAACTGCGAAGTCCGCCAATCCGTCCTTGGTTAGCGTGGTGGGCTATGGCTTGATCCTCCTCGTATTGTAGGAAGGCCCGTGCCCAGCAGTAAGACGTTAAAGGAATACATTGTGTGTTTATATAAGACACGGGAGACGTTGCAGGTAGCTATTATTTTTTAAAATGTATATATTCATGATATGATACTAAAAACACGATTTCAAATAACCAAAACATAAGAGATTTGTCAACATCAAAAGTCAAATCAGTCTATCGAAGAGTCCCACTCTTCACCTTTTGGCTCCATCACCAGACAAGTCGGTGATATTATATCATTGTGATGTAATTCGAATTTCATTTAAGTTTTTAATGGCCAAAATCAACTTCCAAGATTTGATTTTGGTCATTAAAAACATCAGACAGACAGAACAGACAAACAAATGAAACTAACAAAAGCGTTTTAAAAATATCGCTTTAAATTACAGTATTGGGTATGTGTATTTTATAATTTCATTTAAATTTAAAAATAACTTTTATTAAGGCTACGCATTCCATTCCACGAAGGATGCATTACAAGACTAAAAATGGATAGTACCTACGTAATAAAAGTGTCTCGGCATTGTATTTCTTCTCCATCGACTTGTAATAACAAATGATGTTTTAATTAAACAACTGGACTGAGGAAGAAAGGAGTGAGGAAGTATATATTTGATTTCCGTTTTTTTCGTAAATGAAGGTAGGATGTTGATTTATTATATTCTAAAAAATATTATTGTTGAATGTTTTGCACTATCGGCCATTTTTGGTTTTTTGTTTATGAAGTGTAGTGTTTTAATATTCGGTTTGAATAACTGAATTAATGTTAAATAGTCCTTTTTAATTAAACTATCTTTTCAAAAATTGTTATTTAATTGATCAGTTCCTAAGCTTACCTTGTCATCTCAATGGTGCCGTTAATTTTTTTTCCGAAGTTATACAGCCAAATTTCAGGTCAATTAGATTTGAACTTGGATTGAAATTTGCAGCCGAAAATACTGACTAATTATGAAAGTAATAATTTGATAAATTTTCTAAATAACCTGGAACCAAAATGCATCGGTTCTAAAGATTGACCCTCGCGTTCCGACAACGCAAAATGCCAGCATTCCAGACATTTACCCCGCCGATAAGGACGGCTACTGCGCTGCGCACTTTGCGAGACAGGGAGCAAACGCGCTATAAATATCTAAGTGCAGACTTGACTGTTAAGTTTAGAAAAAATGATTTAATTACATTTCTGCTATTTGATTCTCATTCCCAATACAGATTCAAACATGGCGACAATGTGTCAGTGACTTTGGTTGTTTTTTACATTGCTTTACAGATTAAAAATGTGCTTATTTTTTAAAAAAGAAAATAAACAGGCAAAAAATCATACAGTCAGTCTTTTTTTGCGTATCATGACTAATAAAAAGAGCGGAAAAATATGAAAAAAAAAACGACTTTATAAATTGTGCTTACGCGTCACGATCACGTCTCTATTTTCCGAATTCCGATCAATGCAACTGATCACACGATCTCGGAATCTACGAACGTGACTTATCTTCATCTCAGGTATTGCGTAGCTTTCTTTGTTATAAATAATAATAAATTAATCTAATATTATACTATTTCATATCTATTTTAAAAGTAAAATATCAATGTACCCACATTATTACATTTTAAAGTCATATTTTTTTTAAATTCTAAAAACTACTGTCCTATTCATTTTTGTATTCCTATTGGATTGTTTCGTAAATAGAAATAAACACATTTTTATTGCTCTACATGGAACAATATTATTTGTAACACTTATAAAAATTAATTCTTCACTATAGTGATATAAAATAAATGGCAAAAACGTAAATTTAACGATTGAAACAAAATTTAATCTTCCAGGCACCAGACCCGCGGCTCGAGCCCTCCGGTCAAAAACGAAATAGGTATAGACAGTGGGAGCGAGGGTGTACCGTGTATTATAGGTAGGTACGCCTATGCCGGGACAATCGATTGTAGCTAGCTCCCCTACCGTCTCGCCGGGCATCCACCCGGCAACCACGCACTCCCGCAAAAAATAATACAAAAACTTACCTCTTTTCACTTCAGAGAGCACACACCGAAGAAATGCAGTCGCGTATCGCGAAAATACACTATCACTATTTAAAAAAAAAAGTTATTGTATATAATTATAACACAAACATTAATTAACTCAGCACTGTCTTTTTATTGATAAATAAATATTTTATAATAATTAGCAATTGTTAGCCTGCCAGCTTAATTAGTACCGGTGCAGTTTGAATTTACGTATTCAAGCAATGTAACCCCCACGACTGTTCGCGGCGGACTGATCGGAATGAAGATGGCGCGGTTGAGGCGTAGCTGACGCAAGTGAATGTAGCTGCGGGACACCCGTTAGGAAGTGCACCAATAGGGTAATAGATAAAATGATCGACATTTTGCACTTGAAAGTTTAAAGTTTTTAAAATCAAGTTTAAAATTTGAATAATATTTAGAATAATTTAAGCATTATTTAAATATATAATAAATTTTATGTGCAGTCTTTTAATGTGAAGGGAACAGTAAACATTTAACATTTTGTATAAAATACTTTGTAAGTAGGTAATAAAGAGTAATTAACTTATTGTGATATTCGATATAAGTACAAATATTTTATTGTGTTATAAACATCTTTTACAAGTGACAGAATACTTATGAAAAACAAAGACAAATCTATCCCACAAAAACAGTACATTTTTCTGAGATAAAAAGTGATCTATATGCTATTCCAGATTATAATCTATATCTGTGCCAAATTTCATCCAGATCCGTTCAGCCGTTCTGGCGTGATTAAGTAACAAACATCCATCCATCCAAACTTTCGCATTTATCTATACTTACTAATATTTACTAATTTTATAAAGAGGTAGGTAAAGTTTGTGATATTGTGAGTTTGTGACGTTGTAGAGCGTAATCTCTGGATTTACTGAACCGATTTAGATGAAATTTGGTAAGAAGATAGTTTGAGACTCTGGGAAGGACATAGGATAGGACACTTTTTATCCCGAAAAACATATCTTAAGGAGATGAAAATGGGGATGAAAGTTTGTATGGGGAATGAAGCTAGGGACGAACCCGAGCGAAGCAAGGGTGAGTCGCTAGTAATATTAATATTTGTGTCAATTATGTAGTTACTAGGTACACTACCAAAAATATGATAAATTCAAAATATGTGTACCTAAAATTTACTAGGACGATGGAAAACGAAACCACAATGAACGGTGTAGAGTGTAGTCTGTAGGGCAATTTGCATGCATTAGACTGGAACAGTTGAGAAAACACTGTAGAGTGTAGAGCATATTACGATCGCAATCTTAGTCTAGAACCTTATCCGTCCATCTTGAATTAGTAAGCTGTATAATGTCGTATAATTCATACCAGCAATATAGTTAGTTGTTAATGTAGCATGAATAATATATATTAAAGATAACTTATGATTACTTGTTATTACTTAGTAAAAGCCGTAATCCTCACACATAGAAAGGCTTTTCAAATTTCAGATATAAATGCCATGTTTCTGTTCAGATTTTACTAAATAGCTCCAATTACTCAAGAATTCTTAATTATGATATTTCTGAATTGGAATCATTTTAATATTAAACGCATAATTACAGAGACCCGCTTCATTCAAAAAATCATCTCAAAAGAAGATCAAGATAACAACAAACATAGATATTTACATTTGTACTTTGTAGTATTATACCTACAAAGTACTGCCTAATGTATTTTTCTAACTAAAGGGGTTAGTTAGGTAGCTTTTACATATATTCTAGAACCTAGATCGTAAACAATGGCAGGTTTAAATTTGAAAACTAGACTTCTAACCTGATAACAAATCTATTATATATTACTTGTAGTATTATTTCGCCAAAGACTGTAATTACCTACAAGATTTCATATTAACAATTTCAATAAACTATTTATTTCTTACTAGAGGTATAAAAACAAATTATGTCATATTAATAAATATCAAAAAAAGCTATACATATGTAAGTTATAGTTATTGGGATTTGCCGTCATTTTATAGGCACCAGAAAGATTGTGGAAACAGTAGGAAACAGAGACGGAAGACAAAAGCAAGGAAAGAGGCAAGTTGCTTTGGTCTTCTGCAAAGTGGCAAAATTCTGTCAAAATTTTTACAGTAGTCTAGTAGAGGCCCTCGTAAGGCCAGGGGCCCTAGGTATGTGCCCCGGTGCCCTTATGGTAAGCGCATGTTGGAAATCATTCGTACATGAAAATAACAGAGGAGCGAGACGTTGGATTTGAACCCGCTTCACTCGCGGCTGCCGTTATCAATTAGATGGCATTTAAGAATAATTGTAAATAATTAAATGATTAATTGCGAAACAAATTAATATTAAATAAATCATAAATAGAAAGCATAACATTTCTTTTTAAGGTGTTCTTTATGGTACAATTATTTTAATTTTCTGAAGCAGACAACTACTATCGACCTCATTATAGAAAAGTTTATACAAGCGAAAGGTCAAATCTAATAAATATTCATCGCTTATGTAGACTGTAGAGGTTGCCCGTTACAATTCTAAGTACTTAAATTGAAATTTTATCAAAATCTGTCCAATGGTTTTCTCGTGATGCGGTCACAGACAGACAGACAAACGGACAGACAGACTGACAAAAATTCTACAACTATAGATTCGGCCTCTGTATCGATAATAATGACTATATCAATAAGATTGTTCAAAAAATATTTAATGAACAGATTCGACGCAGAATTTTATTATATGTATAAATAACGGATATAATTTAATGTTTAATGTTCTTTTTTGTCTTGAGCATTACAGTGAAAATTTAAATTTTAATGTAATTATTTTTACCGTCCAATTATTATATTTAAGTAATGCATGTTGTTTTTACCTGTAAGTGGCTTTGCATTTTAGATCTATACCTATTTTTTAATGTCTTTTTTTTTGTGTATTTGTGAAATGTAAACTTATTCGTGAACCTAGTGAAGAGAAAAAAAAATTGATACCTATTCCTGATAATGGCATCAATATGAGTAAATTGCTGTCTAACATAACACCTAAATCGGAAACCGTATTAGTTTAATTAATTTAATAATTACTTACTTAATTTTCGGTTTAATTTTCCTGGTTTTACTTTATATTATTCTAGCAACTCACTCTCGCTTCGCTCAGGTTCGTCCCTATAGCTTGGTTCCCAATACAAACTTTTATCCTCATTTTTACACCCTTAAGGGATGATTTCCGGGATAAAAAGTATCCTATGTCCTTTCCAGGGTCTGAAACTATCTTCTTAATAAATTTCATCTAAACTAGTTCAGTAGATCCAGAGATTACCCCCTACAACGTCACAAACTCACAAACCCACAAACTCACAAACTTTACCTCTTTAATTAGTATAGACTAGCACTATTAGTAATTACGTTAGCACTTCGATACATTCAAATGCTTATTATTGTTTCGGCACCAAAGAACCAGGCTATTTAAGTCTTCTTGCAGTTGCAAAACGTTGGACTTCTGTTTAATAATCTTTGTAATTTTAATTTCATCTGCAAACATACATACAGACGAGTAAGTACTTAATTTTTGAATATGTGAGATGAGACTCGCACTAAATTACCAACTTATTGGAAATTTCGTGATGTGTAAATTTAATAAGCAACAAACTATGGTCAACTTTATTGAAGGCTTGTGATAAATCTGTATAAATAGCATGTACATACTTAAAAGTTACTGATTCAGTTAAATCTAAAAGGTAACGTAAAAGGTTTTATTTATTTATTTAATTATTTTTTGTGTGAAAACAAGAGAAAAGCCTTCACGTGGTGAAATACATATGATTATAAGGGATTCAAATATCTTCGATATTGTTGACAATATTAATATTGCCTATACGAGTAATTCGTACACGTTCCTTTATCTTTATCTATAAATATTGGCACTATTCTCGCCTTTATATTTATTCGCATTATAGATAGTTCATCATTGCAATGTTTGGTAGAGATAGAAAATCTGCGCAATTTATCAAAAATATAAGGGAACATTATCAGGTCACACAGTTCTATACTGATGTAATTTCCAAGATATTTTAATTATTAACTTTCAACCCCTGACAGTGTTATTATTGTACATAATATGTAAGAGTAAGCTTATGTAACTTTTTGCTAAAAAAAATAAAAACAATTGGAAAACCATTAGATGAAGGATGTAGACTTTGTTACTCTCGTAGAAGTTTAAAGAAATAAAAACATATCAATAAACACTTTTAAATTTAATAGGTTTCCGTTTGTTATATTTAAGATAAACATACAAAATGTAAAATATTTAAAGCATAAATAGATTCTCTTAATATTAATTGATGGGAAATCAATGAAGCAAAGACCTTCTTGTTGCCATAACATAACTGTTCTTATAAACATTACGGGACATGATACACGAATGCTACAAAAAATATTGATTGACGATACAACACTCGAGTGTGCTGTTATTCGTGTATATTAAGACAATAATAACAATACAATAAAAGATTAAGAAAGAACATTTTATTTACAGCACATTACGTTTTTACTAGAGATGAAACGGATATCCGGCCGGATATCGGATATTTGACAATAACGAACACCCGGCCGCCGGTTATCCGGTCATCGGGCTTCAAAGCTCGCTGGATATCCAGTATCCGGTCAATCTCTTTCAACTCTAGTTTCATAAAAAAAAATTAAAGAAATTATTATCTTCTTGAATTTTATAGTTGAAGTTTAAAGTATTTTTACTGTCTCGTAAGTTTTACTTAGATTAGCTGTAATACTTTCTTAGATTTATGCAAATATTTGATATTTTAAATAAAACTATCTTTTCGGATTTTTTTGCAGATTTATTTTGATTTTTGGTTCTCGACGTTTCAAATGCTTTACAACAATCATGGTCACGAGAGAGGTCTCTCTCTCTCAGTTTTATTTATATTAGCTTTTTTATTTATTACCTACAAGAAAAATCATGTGAACATTTGAAGTACTTATTTAAATATAATGTGTATGGGCATAATTCAAGTGTAATTATTAACATAGAATCTATTAATATTATAATCAATTATAAAATAAATATATATTAAATGGTACTTGTACCGCACATGTGTTAAGCTGGCTTACGAGGTTTCCAAATTATACGTAAGAAAATAATTTATATAATTAAAAAATTATCAATAATAATTTAATTAAAGTCTTTTTAATAATAAATTAATATAATAGGAAATAATTTGATTACTTCAAAATTAAAATGGAATACTAATTGACTTCGATCAACACATTTACAAGACACGTGCACAAAAGGCTATATAGTATAGAGATCACGAATAACGGATTAGATAAGTAACAGCAGTCAGCAACCGAGGTCTTTAACTGGTATCTTAATTATCCTCTAATGAAAAAGAGCGTGAAGCGAAAGCGGCGGTTTTAGTAAACCGTCGCATTTAATTATGTGTTACATATCTCGCATCTAGACGTTTCTCTGTGTTGATTTTGTAAAGAGAAAATTTAATTAGCTTATTTTATTGCATTTATTTTGAATTTGTTATGGAAGAAAGCTTTGTGATTTACCTACGGCATTAGGTACCTTTATTATATCCATAGCTTAGAACCGCGGGTGCACTTGTGTGTTTACCCAGGTCGAGTTATGTCATTAAATACAAACTAAAGCTAACAAATTTCATAATATATCCTATACTTTTTTTTGTTTCGTGATATTACAAGATAATAGCAATTATTTAACCACTCATTAAAAATTCTAGAATTTAAATGAAAAATTAAAACATACTTGATCATTTGTAAATTAGATCTTTGAACTAAAAATACATAATATTATTAGTACATAATACCTAATGTAATAAAAACAAAAAAAAATACACCGTTCTAACTTCTAATGGCTTTGAGTGACACGAATATATATATTTTTTTCAATTATAAAAGCATTCTGAACAAACAATTTAATTATAAAGTATTGACTGTCAATAAACTTTAGCTAAGTATGTTTCTATTGCAATTTAAAAAAAAGTTTATTCAATGAAGCGGTAATTCCCGCGCAATTTTGACACTAAAACGTTATGACTTATGACGAATTGGTCGGTATCTATAAAGCAAACGCGGACAAATTCTACGTCAAATCTGAAGACAAGGCTCGTTAACTTCACCGGAATTCGGAAAGTAGTTGCATCTTGCGTGCACGGACGGACATTATCATAATTGATGAAAGCAGGCACCGCCTTCACGTTTTGTACAATATCGCGGAAATATAGATTAAATGGCGACAGATCATGATTAAAGTGTCTGTGGTCCAGTGGACTGCAAAAAATATTATCTACTAAACGACAGGACCGGATTTATTAGGGTTATATCCTCTCATTGAATGAGGTCGAGAGACATTTTGGAGAACGTCGAGATAAGATTTTCCTAGCGGTTCTTTTTTCAGAAGTAATGTAAAATATTTTAATGTCTACAGTCTTGTTACCTTATTTAAGTTAAACTTATTTTATAAACATTATGCACGGACTAAATAATTAATTTATCCCTCATTTTAGTTCTGCCGGTGGGTAGTTTGGTCGCTGTCAATAGCCAACTTTCAAGTTTTCGTTTTTTTTTAAGTATAGTCAAAAATATTTTGTATTTAAGTTATAGGTACTTCTTTTGGGATGTTTGGAAAAAAATATGAGAGTAAAATTTTTACGATGCGTGCGCGCACACCGACAGCCAAAAAGCGACATTAAGTTAGCTGATTACTATTTTTTGCCATGGTTACCGTTGTTATTGTTTGACAAATGATATATAACATTAGATTCTTTCCTTAAATGATATTCTATAAATATATGATTTTGACATGCCTAATATGCCTTATTTATATTGCTTAAATTATAATTATAATTTAT